GAAGGAAGGAAGGAAGGAAGGAAGGAAGGAAGGAAGGAAGGAAGGAAAGAAAGAAAGAAAGAAAGAAAGAAAGAAAGAAAGAAAGAAAGAAAGAAAGAAAGAAAGAGAAGAGTGATGGAACACCCACAATTTCTGGAGGCAAGCTATTCTACTGCTTAATTGTTCTCATGAAGAGGAAATTTCTCCCTACTATAAGCCATGGTGGCGCAGTAGTTAGAGTGCAGTACTGCAGACTACTTCTGCTGACTGCCGGCTGCCTGCAAGATAGCAGTTCAAATCTTACCAGACTCAAGGTTGATTCAGCCTTCCATCCTTCCAAGGTGGGTAAAATGAGGACCCAAATTGTTGGGGGCAAGAGGCTGACTCCAGAGGTGGTATTCAGCAGGTTCTGACCAGTTCTGGAGAACTGGTAGCGGAAATTTTGAGTAGTTCGGGAAACCGGTGGTGGAAATTTTGAGTAGTTTGGAGAACCAGTAGAGTAAATTTTGAGTAGTTCGGAATCCCACCTCTGACTGGCCTGGCCCCCATCTATTCTCTGCCTCCCGGGTCCCAGCTGATTGGCTGGGTCTTCTTTTGTTGCCCTGCACAGGAGAAGGGAGCTGGAAAGCCCACCAAGCCACGCCCACGAAGCCACACCCACAGAACCGGTAGTAAAAAAATTGAATCCCACCACTGGCTGACTCTGTAAACCACTTAGAGAGGACTGTAAAAGCACCGTAAAGTGGTATATAAGTCTAAGTTCTAGGTTGGATCTCTCTTTGATAACCTTCCACCCATTATTTCTTGTCCTGCTGTCAGGTACTTTGGAAAATAGATTGAACCCTTCTTCTCTGTGATGGCCCTTCAAATACTGGAAGACTGCTATCAAATTACTCCTAGTCCTTTTCTTCCTTATGCTGGACATACCCAGTTCCCACAATCATTTTTGATGTACAGGTAGCCACAATTGAGCCCAAAATGTCTGTTGCTAAGTGAGAAGTTCAATAGCTGAGTTTTGCCCCTATGCTGCATGGTGTGCCTTGGTGGGTGTGGCTTGGTGGGCATGGCAGGGGAAGGATACTGTAAAATCCCCATTTCCTCCCCACCCCACTAACCTCCTTTCCAGCTCCGTTCTCCTGAGCAGGGCAAAGAAGACCCAGCCGATCAGCTGGGACTCGGGAAGCAGAGAAGAGATAGGGGCGGGGCCAGTCAGAGGTGGTGTTTGCCAGTTCTCTGAACTACTCAAAATTTCTGCTACTGGTTCTCCAGAACCTGTCAGAACTGGCTGAATACCACCTCTGAAACAAACCGTTGTAAGGCAAGGACTACCTGTATTGACCGTGTTTCTTGTGTCCAGATGAGGTCTACTAATTTGAACAATTAACCCCTTTGCATTTCTATATTTGCAGGCTTATGCTTGGCTGAAGGAAGAGATGGGACCGGAATCGGATCCCGTGGTGATCATAAGATTTATAGGATCTACAGAGATGAGCACAGACCTGAGGACTCTCCTCCAAAGTATTTGTGAACAGTTAGCAATCAACTATCGATGCCTAGTGCAAAGCTACCCGAAAAAGACCCATGATCTCCGAGACTTGTTCATTAACCTTTTGAATGAGTCCACCTTTCATCGACCCCTGGTTTTAATCTTTGACGCTCTGGAACAGCTGGCTGATCACGAGGACGCCAGGAAATTGTGGTGGCTTCCGGTTCACCTGCCTCGTTCAGTCCGAATTATCTTGTCCACACTGCCAAACAAGCACAGCATCCTCCAAAAACTGAAGAGCCTTATCCACGACGAAGACAACTACATCGAGCTGACAGCAAGGGACAGAAAGATGTGCAGTCAAGTACTCAAGCAACAGCTGCTCCAAGTGAAGAGGAAAGTCACATCGGGGCAACAAATCTATGTCAACGAGGCTTTCTCTAAGTGCACCCTGCCGATGTTTGTAAACTTAACCTTCCGAGAGGTTCGAAGTTGGAAATCTCACAAGGATGTCGATGGGTCTTCACTCTGCATCACTGTTCATGATGGCATAGAACATATGTTCTGGTCTCTTCAGATTAGCTGCGGGTCGAAACTTTTATCCCGAGCTCTTGGCTACATCACCATGTCCAAAGCTGGCTTGAGCGAAATGGAATTGGAAGACATTTTAGCACTCGATAACACCGTCATGCTCGAACTAAGTCAACGCATCCAACACCTCAATCCATTGAGAGTACCTTACATCTACATCGCAAAACTGAAAGAAGGCTTAACAGGATACCTGATAGAAAGACAAGTGAAAAACGTAACCCTTTTAGTTTGGGCTAATCGGCACCTACAACTGATTGCCCAAAAGATATATCTTCACAGTGAAGAAGACGTGCATGAAATGCACATGGTCATGGCAGAGTATTTTCTAGGAGTTTGGTCTGGAGGCCGAAGGAAATCACTTTACGGCGAAGATCAGTATCTGAACGGCTGCCTGGACATTGACAGCAGGAGTATGAACAATGAAGAGAGGCACATGATGGACTTCATGAATTTTGACAGGCAGTGCCCTGATCAGCCTTGGGTCTTTCAGTGCAACCCTTTGGAGCCCAACATTTTTTTCATTAACCACCGGAAAATGACTGAGCTTTTGCACCACCTGACCAAGTGCGGGAAAACCGATGACATTTTGTACGGCGTCATCATGAATTTCAGCTGGCTTTACACCATGATCAAAATTGGACAGTTCGACAAAGCCCTTTCGGATGTGGAGCTGGCCTACAACTACTCACAAGAAAAAGAGCTGAAGTTTCTAGCAACCACCCTGCGGGCCATCAAACACAAAGTGACAAAATACCCAGGGACCCTCTCAGCGGAATTACAACAGAGGCTACTGCCAGTGGTCAGTTCCTTGCCCAAACTGAGACAGCTTCTTCTAGAGTGTGACAAAGATGGTCCTAAATATTGTTCTATTGTTCCACTTCATTCTTCTATGGATGTCACTTATAGTCCTGAAAGACTACCTCTGTCCTCCAGCTGCTCTCAAGTGACCGAAATCCTACCTACCTTCAATCCAAGTATAGTTATTGTTGCTCTGGAAAATGGGTCCATCAGTACCTGGCATATCGAGACTCGCCAACTCTTAAGGCAAATTACAACTGCTCAGTCAGTTATTTTGGGCATGAAACTGACGACTGATGAAAAATACCTTGTGGTGGCCACCACCAAGAACACACTCTTGATTTATGACAATCTAAACTCTTGTCTTCTCTCCGAGGTGGAAATTAAAGGATCAAAGCATAGCGGGATTGGAGTGAGCTCCAGTTTTATAAATGGATTTGCCCTTTCTGTAAACCATGTGCTGTCGTGGCTGGAAGCCAGTAAGGACATCACGGTGATCGATCTACTGTACGGGTGGCCCCTTCATCAATTCCACTGTTGGTATGAAGTCACTTGCATCCAGTGTTCAGGAGATGGGATGTACGCGTTCTGTGGACAACATTTGAACACGGCATCGATATTTCATTTGGGCAGTGGTGACAAGCTGGCCACAGTGACCTCTGAATTCTCGGGAGGGTTTGTTAAATTTCTTCTCATTTTAGATGCAGCTCAAGAGATGGTCATGGTGGACAGCGAAGGGGCCCTCTCTATTTGGAACACAGAGGAAATTTCCCACCCTCAATTAATGGATGACTTTGATTGCAGGAGAGGGGATAGCGAATTTGTCAGCCTTGAACTTGCTGAAGACCAAAGTGCCATTTTAATCTGCAAATCTCTCAGTATTGACCTGCTGGACACGAGCATGTGGAAAGTCGCAGAAAAGTTTAGAGCGAAAAGGAATGAGCGCTTCATCTCAGCTGCATTATCCAAAAACGGAGACTGCATCGTTGCATCTATCGAAAACACCTCTGCCATTTTCGTTTGGAGGAGAGATAGCGGGCAGTGCATGGCGACCTTACAAGAAATCTCAGGAAACATTGTCAGGTTGATGAAGTCAAACCATCACAACATGCTGCTCTCCTTGTCCACCAGTGGGGTCCTTTCAGTATGGGACATCGATATTATCACTGCAATGTCCAACATTGACAAAACTGGCAAGCCCATCCAAAGACTGGTTTTGCCCGCCAAGGGGGAAGCGATGTACACATTGGATGGATCTGAAGCTATCCATAAATGGAACTTCAGCACGGGATTCATTGAAGCAATATTTAAGCATGAAAGCCTGGTTGAAAACTGTGTCCTGACATCCAACGGGAAATTGATGATTACGTCTGATGACAAATGCAGCCAGTATGTGTGGCAAACGGATTCCGGCGAAAATCTCTTCCGCATCAATGGGCAAAGGATATGCCAACTGTTGATAACCCACAATGACCAGTTTGTGGTCTCCCTCTGTGAGCAAAATGCATCCAGGGTTTGGAGGTTGTCGACTGGACACCGTGTGTGCAACATTCTTGTGGCCTTGCAGAATGCATTTATAACCACAGCGAACACCTTTGTGGTTGGAATGACAAAGAACAAAATCTTAGCGGTCAGCCTGTGGACTGGTAGCATAACCAAGAAGCTTTCTTGTGATGATGGCATCACCATTGTGGATATCAAACTTGTCCCAGACTGCCCGGATAGCGTGATCTTTATCACATCTGCTGAAACCGTGAACATCTGCAGTCTTACTGAAGAAGTTGTCTCTAGACGTTTACAGCTGCCTAATAGCTTCTTGAAAAAGTTAGAGGATTTTGAAATATCGCCCAATGGAAAACTGGGGATTCTCTCTCGTGGAGATGAGAACATCAACATCCTGGACCTTCACAGCGGCAAGCTTCGAGTGGTCCATGCTTCGGGGATCATCTGGAGGCAGAAGCTGTCTCAGGACGGACGCTATCTGGTGTACATTTGTTTCCGCGGCGGGGAAGATGACGAGGATAACAGCGCCATCTCTATCTTAATTGTAATGAGGTTGGCAGATGGCAAAAACATCGGGGCCTGCTCACTCTACAAAACCCCCACTTCCCTAACTCTTTCCCAGAGGCACCTGAACATCATTGTGGGCTTCGACGATGGAAGCATCTCCACGTATACTGTGGTGGATCGCGTGGATGCCGCCCTGAAAATCAAAATCGCTACTTCCAACAGCCGGCAGATTTTCAACAACGCCAGTCAGGTGATGAAGCCAAAGTGTCACCATTACACCTTCAAAGCGACTGCAGACTGTATCTGGAGAGAATCGACAGAGGTGTTTGCGAGAGACAGTCCCATCACCGTGGTCGATGCAGAGACCAGCGACACCACCCCCACCAAAAAACACAACTATTGCTACGACAAAGTGTGTTCTGCCATAGACTGCCGAGTGTTCACTGCTGGCAACTGAGCCTCAAACAAGGAGTCTGCTTGCCCTTCCACACCGCAGATGTCACATTTGTTATTGAGGCCCAAGCCCACTTTTAAAAGAGCCGGTTTAAAAACTGACAAACGAAGCGGAGAGAAAATCTCCGAAGGCGATCCACAGTCTTTGACTGACTCTTTCAAGCAATATCGTCTGATGGAGTCTGCTGTTTTTAAAATGGGGTGGGGAGGAAGGTTTTTCAATAAGAAGGATGCTATATTTCATATTGGAATGAGGCAGATCAAGCATTTTTTGTAAAAAAAAAAAAAAATCCAGCTGAGCAGAAGCAATTTTGAATTGATACCACTTGCAAAAAAAAGGAAGGGGGTTTATTTCCTTCTGATGGTGCAACCAGATGTTACATGTCACCCTGAAACATTCGATGCATTCCATAAACATTTGAAATAGCAGCTATTAGAACCACACACACACACACACACATACAAAATTAATTGTTTTTAAAAAAAACAGCAAAGGGCTTTTTTCAGCCCGTGAATAGTACTAATTCCCCCAGATTTTCAGTCACGGCCATCATTTCATGTAAATCTTTTGTCACTTAACTCGGTGGTCTTATAGGGTTGATTCATTCTGCTTGCTTTTGTTTCTTCTTACCTGGTTCAGGTAGAGTAGCAGGTGAAGTAATCTAAAAGTCACACATAAAGTGCTAAGAATTTTTTAAAAATACCCCAAATTGCAAGCATTTCAAACATCGATGGACGTTTTTTTCTATTCCAAAAATACAAAATTTTACAAAATGGCTTATTTAGATCCTGTAAAGCAGGGGTGTGGAACCTTGGCAGTTTTAAGATTTGTGGACTTCAACTCCCAGAATCCTCCAGCCCAGCCAGCTGGGGAATTCTGGGAATTGAAGTCCACAAGTTTTAAAGTTGCCAAGGTTGCACGCTCCTGTTTTACGGGATCTAGCGTGGCTGGCTGGGGGATTCTGGGAGTTGAAGTCCAGAAGCCTTAAAGTTGCCAAGATTGGATCCCCCTGGTAAAAAAAGCAACTTGGTCTGGATTTCATGCTGTTTATCTTTCACCGTGTCTTTCAGTACAGTGCTTAAGGGATAACATTTTCCCATCACAAAGGGCATTAGGAGCCATCCGTCCCGTTCCATTCTCTCTTTTTACGTAAAAAAAAAAACACTCTTATGAACCATTCTGTTCTGGGAAAGTCCAGCTGATTCTAATCCTTGCAGGAATCAGCATGGAAGAGTTCACACATCCTTCCTGGCCAGTGGTGGGATTTAAATAATTTAACAATCAGTTCTCTGCCCTAATGACCAGCTGTGTGGGCGTGGCCATGGTGGGCGTGGCCAGGGGGTGTGACAGGCAGCACTCGGCCTGCTGCACTCCCCCGGGGAACAAAAACAGGCCGCACACACCGTCACACCCTGTTTTGGGCCTAGTGAGCCTCCCTGCACTTTTGGGAGCTAAAATAGGGTGCTTGGGGATTCCTTGGGACTCTTGGAAGGGGCGGGGTGGGTGGGGGGGCAGCCAGCAATTTAACAACCGGTTTCGAGTGAACTGGTGCGAACCGGTTGAATCCTACCACTGTTCCTGGCGCATTTAGTGTCTGCCTTATTGTCATTCCTGTTTTTTCCTGCGTGAAACACAGACACGATGACCAAATTACTCGGGGATTCCAGTGACATGCTCGCATACGTGCTGAATAACAAGCGAATAACAACAGCAAAAAATCTGGCTGCCTCAAGGGTTCTTTACTGTTACACTTTGTAATAAATTTCTTACTTCTCTGTACAATATCATACTCTTCACTTCACTGCTTTGGGCTGGCCTTTTATAAGACTCTATCACTTCAGAGCCTGGGGGTGAGGTTGGGGGTTGTAGGAAAAATAGGGGTGTCATTCTGATTGTATTTTTTTATTTTTTTAGCTCATCTCCTCTTCTCCTACCCTTGCCTTTTCTTACCCAGCTAGCCCTTAGAGGCGATGGGACTTGTAGTCCAAACTTATCTAGAAAGCCTGCTATGAATGATGCCCACTTGGACCTGTGCAGCTCAATTAAGATAAAGTACATGAGTTTCAGGTGGAGGTTCCGTCCCGTTAATTACAGAAAGTATAAAATATTTCTAAATGTCTCCCAAGTATGAACAGCTTATACGTGTAGGCCGGTCTTCCATTTTAAAATAAAGCCCACCGTTATCCCATCCCAGCTTGTGTGCATTTTATAACAGAAATAGATAAAACACACACCTGTTTCCGGTTTTGTCGGCCAATATTTGAAGACTCTTGAGTATCCTTCTTGTAACATCCCCTGGAGCAGGAGACTTCCGAGCAAATTTGAACAGAAGACGGACTTATACTTAATCACGGAGGGAATTTGCACATCATTTGCAGGAGGCTGAACACCTTCAACACCTTCTAGGCAGCCTCCTGAGAGAGTGGTGCGGTGGCCTAGAATTAGAGCTCTCGCCTCACAGTCAGGAGGCTGTGAGTTGGATCCTAGGTAGAAGCAGGTATTTCTCTGTCTCAGGACGAGGAGAATATATCTGGTGAACAAAACTGCACATTGGCAACAAGAAGGGCATCCGGCCAGTAAAAACCCTCCGCTAGCTCCAGATTCCACCCTGCAAGGGATTATGGAGTCGTTAAAAGAAGGTAATATACGGCCTCCTGGGAGCCATGGAGTCTTGAATTCTCAAATGACGCAAGGCCAACAATGTACGTCCAAAGGTGAAGGTGTTACTCCAGATCCTTGTGGGTTTTCGGACATATGGAAACAGCTGCCTAATTCAATTGAAATTTGCAGCAGAGAAATTGGACATTAGGGGAGGTGTGCCAGTTGACCAAATACGTTTGTGCTTTAGTTTAATTGAGCTCTCGAGTGCGTTTCCTTACAGTATTTTTTCCCCCAACCATCCAATGTTTTAAAGTCATTCATCAGCTCGGTTCGGATAGTCCTTGACTTACGACCAGGAGTGGGATGCAAATATTTTTACTACCAGTTCTGTGGGTGCGGCTAGGTGGGAGTGGCCATGTGACTGGGTGGGCATAGCTTCTTCTTTTTTTGCAACACAATACCACCACCGCCACCACCCATGCTCCAATTTTTGGCCTCTCGGGCCTCAGGGAAGCCTCCTGCGAGCAAAAACGGGCTCCCATGAGGCTTCCTGAGGCCCAGGAGGCAAAAAACGGAGCGGGCGGGGGCTGCACAGCAATTTGGGGCCATTGTTAAATGGTTAGATAGTAAGTCAAGGATAACCTGAAAAGATAAAACAGAAATTTAATAGCTTTTTTTTATTTTTAGAAAAAGGCATATCTTTGGCAGTTTAGTAGAGTAGAGTAGAGTAGAGTAGAGTAGAGTAGAGTAGAGTAGAGTAGAGTAGAATGAACTGGGACCTTGGAGGTCTTCTAGTCCAGCCCGCTGCTCAAGCAGGATAACCGACACTATTTCAGATAAGTGACTATCTAGACTCTTCTTAAAAACCACCAGTGACCTGGTTAATTGGTTAATTGTCCTCACTGTCAAGAAGTCTCTCCCTCAGTTGTTTTAAAGATTGTGAATAAAACACATTCTCTTTTTTTTTTAACCTCCAGAATTCTAAGGATCAAACTACCTAGAATGGCTAACTTGTTTCAACCAGGATCTGCTCCACATTTATTCCCAACAATTGTACGTTGCTTACTTATCACATCTTAGGTGTTTCATGATGAGAGTCTGGGTGGGTGAGTGGGTGGGTGGAGAATAGTTATAGGTGGATGGATGGATGGAGAATAGCTACAGATGGATGGATGGATGGATGGATGGATGGATGGATGGATGGATGGATGGAGAATAGCTATAGATGGATGGATGGATGGATGGATGGATGGATGGATGGATGGA